ATAGATAAAGGCAGTTGAATGCAATCAGGCGATATGCATGAACACCCATTTTAAATTAAAGAACATCTTTGCTATTGGATCACAGAGAAAAATTCCTTTAAAGAAGTATGATATTAAAAAATAAACACATGGCCTTAAATCATGGCCACATCACATAAAGGGAGATATTGTCGAATTCTGAGAATACTCCAGGTTGAAAAATGTACCCCTATCCAAGGTGGCATCGGAGGGGTGGGGGGATGATTGGGTGATGAACTGAGAGGTTAGATATCTATCAGTGTCGTAAATTAAGCCATTCTACTACAGCATCATATAACATATAACCTGCACAGATCTTATTGAAACCACTGGGTGGCCATTAAAAAGAAAGAAAAGGGCCAGAGATAGAAGTTCAAATTAAAAATGGGACCCGTTAGTAGAAAGTGTGTGTGTGTGTGTAAATGTCTGTGTTCCTAACAGCTAATGTACATCAAAACCGCTTCTCCAACTTACCAAAAAGAAACAAACACGCAAAAAAAGCAAATACATTTCTCTGCAAGGCTCCAACTACTAACCCTACATCCCACCAAGGCCAATTACAGGAGAAGTTCACATGCGCAGATTCTGTTTTTTATAGTGTCCATGTGTGTTTTTTATGGTAAGGGAATTAAAAAGCATACTTTTTACTGTTTTTTTATTTGAGTTGCTAATGGGTAATCTTTAAGGCACGGTCAATGTCTGTGGGGACAGACGTTACTTGTGGCAGGATGCAAAACATGAGCTTCGAAACTAGTCAGTATTTTTTGCCCACAAGTATCTACTAGCTGTTCATATTCACAAAAGCTTACAGTTGACTTTTAACAACCACTTTCAAAGGAGCCCACCACATTTATCTGCAGCCATTTATGGCAGATAGTAAAATATTGCCTCCTCTTGGCTGGGTTTCTTTGCATCAGCAAATACAGTTGCAAGAAAAAGTATGTGAACCCTTTGGAATGATATGGATTTCTGCACAAATTGGTCATAAAATGTGATCTGATCATCATCTAAGCCACAACAATAGACAATCACAGTCTGCTTAAACTAATAACACACAAAGAATGAAATGTTGCCATGTTTTTTATTGAACACACCATGTAAACATTCATAGTGCAGGTGGAAAAAGTAGATGTCCTAGAATAATTTTATTTAATGCTTGAGCTGGGCTACTAGCAAGTCTATAATTGTCATCCCTGGTGCCCACCTTCCTATGTTTTCTTCTGATTCTAGACTATATTGAAGCTTCAAGTTTTATTGAAGCTGGAACTTAAATATTCCATGTGACCTCCAGTGTCCTGTATTTTCTTCTGTTTTCTTATCTATTGATATATGTTTTTTTTTCACCGATACCTATTGGTGAGTAGAAATTTGTAGCCCTGATTTATAATAGGAAATCACAAACACACAAGATGGCTGCCCCTAGTTCTTGTTGTGGTTGTGACTAACAGGATGTTTCTTGTCAGGTAATGCTATACTATGTTCAGGATGGTTTACATTTAGGAAGCAATGATATGGTTTTGAAATGGTTTTCGCATTTCACTCATAGACTGTTGATTACATTTGTCGTATTCACCAATCACAATACTCTATTACACGTGTTCTGTTTATAGTGATTAACATGGACTCTGTTTATTCTATAGCTTGTATGCTTAGGCCTCAGATAATCTGTTCCACTGCATTACTCATCATTAAACTGTCCAATTGTATTCCTTCGTGCAGGATAAAAAACCTTCATGCAAAAATCATTGAGCAGGATGCAATGATTAAAGTCCTTCATCAACGATCGCGAAAGGATCAGGGGAAAAACGATAGCTCCAGTTTGCGCCCAGCCCGCTCAGTTCCTTCCATAGCAGCAGCGGCGGTAATGACAACGCCCGCTGGTACTCATTCACGACAGACCTCTCTCACCAATAATCAGGCAACGGAAGACAAGAGGGAAGATAAGGTTCGTAAGGGAAGCACAGGTGAGTCGTGGTCCAATCTAAATGGATGTCAATTAAAACTGTAAATTCTATTTTCACAATACAAAGAGCCACTCTGTGTTCTAGAACCATAGTTAAATATTTTATTAAGTGTTTCTTTGAAATGTGAATCTGTGCCAGTTGTAAGTATATTTTCCAGTCAATAGCAAAGTTGCTAAATAAAAATAAAACCTACACTATGGTACTTTTTATTTTACATGTTTGATCTCCAGAATACCTAAATCAAGTCGGAATTATCAACATATATCATATGTATTCTCTATATTGAATTATATTGTATAAGTACAACTCTTCCAGTTTCTTATAACTTGCCCTATTTCTACGATATATAAATCCATAGCTAGATCACCATATTTGTGGTAATTGTGATCAGTATTTATGTACATTTAGCTTTGAAGACCATTGATATTTTCGTCTTGTTTATAAAATAATTCACGATTCTGTGTATTAAATATCCACCTGTGAACTGCTTCTGGGATTTTTTTTTTTTTTGTCCAAACCTCTCTCTGTTTTATGGAAGTAGCTAAAACGTTTTACAAATCAACCTTTGTAACTGTCATCCTTCTCAGGATTGCTGCAGGGAAAAGACCATCCTGAAATCCCTTCGCCTTCTTTAATGATGCTTCCACCGCCATCCTTTTTACTGCCACCACCAGGTCCGATTCCGCCTGCTCCGACTCCGCCAGTTACAGCCTCACATGCAAAAACAGGGAGCAAAGACAACAGCACCCAGACAGACAAGAGCACAGAGCTTTTTTGGCCAAACAGTCTCCCTGGCAGGGGTCGTATAAATATGACTCCTTCTAGTAGTCCCCTATTACGACACACTGCAGTCAAAGTCAAGGAATGCGAGAAATCTGGTACGTCTTGATGGTTTATGTGTGTACCCAATGAAACCATGAATCACTTTACATGCTCTGTCTGCCATTCAAGCTTCCCTCTTACTAACTCCAATGGGAGATAGAAGAGACAGAGTGTTTGTACAGACACGCCTGTGCAGATCCCCAGCCGTTTTATTCCTCTTTAACTTTGACTCCATGATCACTGCAATCAATTGTATCATTGGGCTTTCTATCACAGCTCTGATCTTTATGTACGAAAGTCAACTCAGTCCACCAAAACAGGAATGAGTATGTTTCTTGTAATAAAAAAGAAAAACAAAAACTGGGAGAAAAAGTACCACTAATTTTGGCAGGGGTGAAAGGGTTCCTAGTATGCCAAAAATCAACAATAGGATCTAATCTTGCTTGGACATTAAAATATCCAGTAGAGCATCATCATCGGATTCTTGTGCTGTAGATATTTGCTTTGAATCCATGGTGAAGTTTGATTGTTTTTCTGTATGTGTATTTGGTTGGTTTGCTTTTGGTTATTTTTTTTTGTTTTACTTGATTACAGTTTTCTTCTTACTGTTTCCCCTCTCTAGATAATTCCCCTATGCTCGGCAAGACTCTGGACCTTAAAAATAGAGTCGGCAACACTGCAAACAAGAGTGATTTCTCTGA